TAACAAGCGATTAGAGCCCATGCCAACAAGCTTAAGGTAAAGAGATCAAGCAATTCCACGAGGAATTTGAAGGCCCAATGGAGAAGAAGACTAGAAACACGATTCTTCAAAGCAACTTCAAGGAAGTCGTTGACCAAAGAACGAAGGACACTAAAGTATTAATCAGCGAATAGGGGAAAGGCGAAGGAAGTGAACGTGGGGGTCAGTTTGAACTTTCGCTGAAACCCACCAGCTCCGCGTCATAAACACGTTGCTTCAGAAAGCCTCAAAGGAACCGTGGACATGGTGAAGCCCTCAGGAAAATCTCTGAATCACATCTACTATGTAGAGACGGATAATATCGGCAATGTCAATCATAAGCGAGAGCATCATCAGTGAACAGTCAGATCATAAGCTTTCACTTTCCACAGTTATAACTGATGCCTCAAAAGAGGAATGGATTAAACGAGCAGAAAAATCACCTCATTATGAAGAACTACTTCGATCCAGAGGCTTTTGTGGTGAAGCTGCCATTTATGCCAAAAAATGAAGATTAGCGCGGACATTAAACGCAGATTATGACCATGTTGTCAGTGAAGCCGGAGAGAAAGTAAACGAAAATCTAACGCATCAATCCTGCAACAAGACAGCGAACGTCTAGAGGAACTGAACAGGAGGGCCGGAGGGAAAAAAGACAACATGTATAATCCATTGAGAAAATAGACATGAAAGAAGTCGATGGAAAACTATGAAAATTACAGGAGAGCTGAATTACTAAAGCCTACGGAGCGGAAGGAAACGCTGCAAGCAGTGCAACGAGATAATCGCTAAAAACGGATATCGAGTGTGCTGAAAGACGGAAGAAGAGCAAAATCATGTAATCGCGATCTGTACAAAGTTCTACAGCAAATTCTGCTCTTTCAAGGTATGTCTGATTCGAAAGTGCCACACGCTGCTACAGAAATAATTCCAGCAATCACATGGAACGAAGGGCTGATGGACAGACAGAGACGAAAGCCAATGTCCAGGTAAAGACCATTTAAGATCAGAAAGCCCTAAAATAGGATGCTTGACAATCGCTTAATGGAAGCATTTCGTAGAACAAGATGACTAAAGTGTGGAAGAGGTTTAAAACGATTCTTCTCATGAAGACAGGCGACTCTCAAGACCTGAAAATCTGAGCACCAGTTACACACCTGTCGCAAATCCATCTGCAAACACTTCATCCGGATCATTCTAAACCGGAATGGGCCGATTCGGCTCGAGCAATTTCGATGCCCGTCGACGAACGTTCTCAACGTACCGTACTTTACCGCGAGATTCAGTCTACATTATTGGTCTGTGGTAATCTCGATCAACTGCTTCATTCAACCCACCGCATTACGCATCAGATGAGAAGCACAATGCGAATCTTCTGTCAAGCTACTGAATTTTCAAGATTCTTCGTATATTTTACGAGTTCATTTTTCAGGCTGCGAAAACTCATTTATTCAGCGCGCATTGTGCGGTCACGAGTTTGACTTTATATATTAACATATGTTCACTATTTACATATTAATAAATAGTTGTCAGTAGTAAAGTACTAAAGTTTGCAAAATTAGTATTTTTACTAATTCGAGAATCACGGTTTTCTTTCATGACGGCGGATTACGCTAGTTAGTTCTGTTCTATAGCATTTCGTTATGCCAAACTCGATAACCTTTGTTACTCATATTATCAATGGAAACTTCAGTCAGAGTTGAGTACGAATCCACTATCAAATCTATCAATTTCAATACTCCTGTTCCGTTTCATGCTTATTAGTTACAACCTCGCAGCGTCATTAATTCGGATTGCGGCAATAGCGTAGTTAGTGTAAATTGGTATTATCTGAACCGATCATGTTAAAGACACGAATTGTACCGTAATGCCGTTTTCAAAACCGGACCATGAGAAGTTTTCGTCAAAGGGCTACTTACATTCATTTAAGGCGTGTGCAACACCGCTATGAGGCTGGCTCTGGAAGAGAACTCCAAACAGAGGAAAATTGTGAGAGCACCCGCTGCAACCGGCAGTCCAACGATGTTATGATATGGCATTACGATTGATTTAGCAGTGGACCATTTTAAGTACCTCTGAGCTCTCTCAACTAAGGATAGCGACAATGATCCTGGATTGACTTGGCATATCGCACTGACATCATCGAATTATGGCAAGCTGTAAGATGCATTGAATGAACAGACTATAAGAATGGCTACGAAAATTAACATCGTTGAAAAGTGTCAACATCTTTTCATGGCACTCAAAAAGATTTGATCTCTCAAGAGTGTATATGAGGATGACTGTGACTTTCAGAATGATGGTCTTTGTTGCTTTCTGGATAGATCCATTTTGCCACACCTTAGAAAGACGCCCAAAGTTCGCAGATGCTAGCCCCAAGGGCCGCTCTACTTCCGAATCGCAGGTTTCATCTCTTGCAAATAGCGAGCCAAGATATTTGAAATTTTTGATCTCCTCGATGGTCCTTCCACTGCGTTGAACCTTTGGGTCGTTAGTCGAGTCGGTTTCTTGCCAGATCTTCTTTTTGGTAGGCACCGTCGACTTAGTGCCAATAAGCAATTGGCGAGCCGTTCAGCCGTACAAAGTCGCCAACGTACTTGAGGTATGTTATGAGTACTACTGGGTATCTTGGCTGGGTCGTCGCCTTATAGTAGATCCCTCGATGTTTTTGGGGACGACGCTTCATTCGCATCATGTAATCTACCACTATACTCAATAATAAGAGTGAAAGACCTCTCCTTTACGCACTTCATTGTTGTTGTTGTTAACCAGTCCAACAGCAACTCTTCTGCTCTGATGGCGCCTTTAGTACCTTCGTACAGTCCTTTCAGTAACTACGACGCTACTTCTGAGTACTCAGTAATATCGCAGCATGCGCCGCAAGGACTGACCGTGTACAGAGTCGAATGCTACTCCAAAATCGTGGAATGTTGCATGCATGGGTAGTTGGAAGATCCTTGCCTCTTCGACTATGTTGTTTAGTACGGCACTGTACAATAGTCCAATTCGAAATCCTGTTTGATTTGCTCGAAACGAATG